TTATGTCCCCCAGAAAATGTGTGTATCAGTTTGGCTGGGCCATGATTCCCAGTATTGTGTGGTTGTCCTCCATTTTGTGATTGTAATTTTATGTTGAAGAGGATTAGGGTGGGATCGTGACATCCTTACTAAGGTCACATCCCTGATCCAATGTAAAGGGAGTTTCCCTGGAGTGTGGCCTACACCACCTTTTATCTCCCAAGAGATGAAAGGGAAGCAGGCAGAGAGTGGGGACCTCATACCACCAAGAAAGCAGTGCCAGGAGCAGAGCGCATCCTTTGGACCTGGGGTCCCTGCCCCGAGAAGCTCCTAGTCTGGGGGAACATTGATGAGAAGGCCAACAGAGAGAGAAAGACTTCTCCTGGAGCTGACCCCATGAATTTGGACTTTCAGCCTGCTTTACTGTGAAGAAATAAATTTCTCTTTGTTAAAGCCATCCACTTGCGACATTTCTGTTATAGGAGCACTGGATGACTAAGACAATCACTTTGCCACCAGGGCTCCAAATATCAAACTTTAAAAGCAACCTTAAAATCTGGAGCCTCTGAGAGAAATAATCCAGGCCCACTGGCACAATCCCAGGCTCATAGATTATAATCTGAGTGATAGTAAAAATATTTAACTGCTGGTATAGCAATTAGAACAGATGCCTGTCGTACCAATCTCATTTAGCCGTATTGATTTGTCACAGCTTAATAGTAATCTTTGGCAAAACATCTCTCCTGGATGTCTAATGTCCTGCTGAGCCCTTCTCTCTCTCCCTCTTATACTAATCATTATTTAGAAGTTGTCTTAACCCATATAGGAATGTTTTGGCTCAGATATTCTTTCCCATGCCTTTTTATTCTGTCCTCCCAATTAAAAAAAAAAAAAAAAGTATCTGTTGTGGAGAACAAACAGGTCAGCTAGTGTGGGTAAAGAAGACACCCTTCATCTGTGCTGTGATCTCAGTCTGAGTGGGAGTTCTGCTGCCTTTTTCTCTTCTGAAAATGATCCTTACTCTTTCCTGTACAAAAATATCCCTTACTTCTCAGAAGATTTAATTATTTGGTTTGAAATGAATAAAAATCCTAAGAAATTCAGAAATATGTCATGGTAGATACAGGAAGAAAACTTTACTGTCCCAATTGTTTACAAATTCAGTAATTTTTAAAAAGCACTATTAGATCAACCCTGACACTAATTATGCTTAGTCACTGTACAGAATAAAACATTTATAAGTGTAATATTAATGGTATTGGGTTTTGAAAGCATTCTAACTTCTAATACTTTATTCTTTATCAAATAAACACGCATTAGGTTTTAAATGTTAATTTTAAAGTGGCAAATTTAAATCTAAGCTGTTGCAGGCAGAATTTATTCTAACATGTTCCATAATGAAAATCCTTTTCTGATCTTTTTGTTAGTATAGGAATAATCGTTTAATAAAATACTTAGTATTTTACTGTGCCATAG